TGAGCGGGTCTGTCTTGATCTGCAATCGCCAATACGGGCGATTGCATCAAGCTTTGCTTGATACCATCGGAGGAACGCTGGCACTCAGCGTTCCATGACCACTTTACAAATTTGTTGAGTAAACAAGAAAGATGCACAGTCATCTCGGCGTAGGTGCGAGGGTACTGTGCAAGTACGCTGCTAGGCCGAAAAACTTACGAGTTCCCTTGACATCGGCTGGCACGGGCCAATCGGTGATCACCTTGATCCTTTCGGAATCAGGGCCTACGTCGTGTTTACCCACGATGCACCTAAGAAGCGGTATTTTGCTAGCCGCTAATATACACTTCTTGAGGCTGGCGTACAACTTATGCTTGCCCATAAGTTGAACAACCTGACGAACGTGAGTTCTATGTACTTCAACGTCCAACTTTCCGTTTAAAGCCTGGCTATGAACGAACACATCGTCAAAGTAACTCGGCGCTAAATCCCGCACTGGTGTCAACCAGAGTTACACATCTACTAAATGTTGAAGGGGCAATACTCAGCCCCTCTAGCCTCACTAGCCACTCCCGCAGCATGCCGCTCGGGGTTCTCACTGCTGTGTACGGGATGTCCCGTTCACGCATGAGGATCTGATAGAAGCCATCCATCCTATCGATGGACGAGAAGATGGTACTCTTTGACATACCATCAATGATCACGTACTTCCTTGATATCGGCGTCTGAGCCGGTACCGTTGCAGTATTCAACTTGTTGAATGCGTGCACTATCCACAATTCTTATGTGGCCTTTCGCACACAGAAGGTCGCAGAGCTGTAAAGGAAAGTTGATTCCCTCACATGACCCGTTGCCAAGCGATCGGTAAAGAACACATCGATCGCTAGTACTTGTTCGCGAGGCAGTGGACACTGCTTCATGACACAGTACTTCGAGCCCGGTTTGAGCTCGATCTCATGGCGAGTGCCTTTGTCCTTAGGCAACTCGCAAGGCACAGATTCAGGGAATACATCCTTAAATTCGATCAAATCCTTATACAAAGGATTTGCCTGAAGCGACTTCCAAGATTGAGACGTGTATCGTTCAATCCGAGTCTTCTCATCGATGACGCTTCGTCCATCGATGAGCTACTGATAACTCGTTTGTTCTCAGTAAACACCATTGCAGACCTAATTTCGGTGACGTACGCGTCCTCTGCGAAGAGTATAGTGACCTACTTGACTTTGCCAATGCGCATATCACATAAGAACATTTTAATCTAACTCTGGCAATTGAGTTATCTCCGAAGTTAACTTCGGAGGCACAATCAGATCAAGCGTATAAGCGCCTACGCTTGATCCGTCATTGACCAAGACGTTCAACGTCTCGTTTCTTCCTGGAAACTTGCTTCCACAGGTTGCTGAGGGCCTGATCCTTCAGCAAGTGAATCTTGAGTAAAGTCTTCCTCAAGTACGTGGGGACTTATTCCCTCGACGTCTTCTGACTGTGGCTGTGCAACCACAGTCAGGCACCGATTCTCTACGGTCGACTCTCAGTCGACCTAGGATGTCCATGTTGCCCTTTGAAGGCAACAGGTTTCTTTTGTCTGGGGGATACTGCATTTGTATGCGTAGTGTACCATCTTGTGACATCTATGGCATCTCAGCAATCGCTTGTCGCTCGCAGGGCGAGGAATCTAACCCTCGACATGAGAGAGGTCCATTGGTTCTGGAACTTCGACCGCTGATCGTCTCTGTGGACGATAGGAGGTCAGCGTAGCATGGACCTGTCTCACACAAAAGTGTTCCTGCTCCGCAGCATAGATTGCTTCTGAGAGCGTCTCCAGCTCTCCGAGGAACAAATGGTCTCTGACGGGACCATCGGCAAGTCCTTAATGAATACTGTGATCGACACAATTCACTTACAGGGTTCACTACCATGCAACTTTCAAGGTGACGCACATGTTGGGCGTAAGCGTGGACCTTACGCTTGCTCTGTTAGAGTTACAGGAGCTCTGATAGAGTCCTGAACTCTGCATTTGGCGGTTCAAACGTTTTGCTGATCAGGGTATTGGATATCCCTAACGACTCAAACACATTTGGGTCGTACAACTTGAGATTCGGAGCCTAATTCCTAGCGTTCCCTGCCAAGCACAACAGAGCAAATGCAACTTGCATTCACTCATCGTCGATAACAAGAGCCTCGATGGCACCGCTAACCTCGACGAACCATCTCAACAGGAAGTCTTCCTCGACTCCCTGGTACTTGAATATCTCTAGCTCTAAAGACTTCTGTCGACTCTCACGCTTCGACAGTACCGACTGAGACTGTTGTTGTCTCAGCATTTCAGTCCGCTGGTGATCTTGTTGTTGCAACAAGGTCACCTGCGCTCGCGGCTCATCAAGCTCTCGTTGCAAGAACTTGCGGATGACGGAATGCTGTTGGTCCCTATCTCTTGAGGATAGCATGACCCAAACAGTTTCTTCTCAAAGAGTCGAGCTCATTCGCTCGATCGCACTCCAAAAACGACTAAGGCAAAGACTTTAGTCGTGGTAAAAGTAAACCTGGTATTTCATACAATTAAATCCTGCAACTCTTGTTTCTCTGTTTGTCCTGACTCCATTATATTGATATATAACTAATAGTATGATGGCGTCTACTCACCTCCTATTGCGCGCGTCTAGCAGCAAGAGGTGGGTTGATATAATCACTATCTCAACCAATGAGTAGACCCTTCGGCCATTCCAACAATGTTACTGTGTTTCGCGATATAGTTAAAATAATATTCAACGTAATATTCTTTGTTAATATTTTGTCACAATGGTAACCACATTGAACGGGCTACCCCGTTACTGCAGACGTGTTAAAATCAAACGTTCGTACAGCTTCCGATACGCACCCTCGATTCACTGTGTCATAAGCTCTTGATACGTCCAAAAGCAATATGCACCAGCTGTCTCCCACGTCCACATTAGCCTCCACACGAGCTGTTGTCCTGTATGCCAGCATCATCAAAACCGCTTTGTGCACTTGGCTAACATATACAAACCCTTGTTGGGACTCGCTTTTGATCCGCGATGGGCCGTCTGTAGTCGGGTTGCAAGTAATTTTGTTAAGAGTTGATAAGTGGTCTGCAGCTACGAGATTGGGCGATAATCCATAGCATTATCCGAGTCTTCTAATTTCCGCAGCGGTACGATGAGAGCTGTCGCAAAAGAAGCCGGCATCTCCGCCCGCAAATGATCTGATTACACATCCTTTAAAATGCAAAAACAGTGAAAGTCGCAGTATCCTTGCAGAAGTCATTAATTGATCCATCCTGGCCAGCCACCTTGTGATGATGCTGCATCACGACTGCCAGGTTGGATTTGTTGATAAAATGGCCTATCGCAACCAACTCCACCACGGAGCGGTGCTGCGTAGCACCTTCAAAGGTAATATTCCGTCAGAATAAACTAAGTAAGGTTCATATCGGTGAATCGCATCAATTACGGTCATGCTCTGCTTGACCCAATCTGGTGGCAAGTACATGGAACGGACTCATCCCGTTACAATCTCAGTTTGCTTGTCCGACGTTGTAATGGGAATTTGTTCATGTCTAGACGAGGCGCCACATAAGAAGTCCCTAACGTGACGGCATGCGACAGGCGGATCACTCGTTAATTCAAGTCGTCGGACGTCGCTTCCGTGCGACAGAGGACCAGGTCAGAAGCATGCGACGCAGGGCGGTGAACGAGCTCTCGGCACTGTGCTACGGTCGTTGAGCACGTGCACGAGGACTCTGTGCAAGTTGTTCGTCAAAGGCATATCGAGCAACCAGGACGGGGCGAGCGCGCAGTTGCTGGACTGCTGGTCGTGCAGGTGCGGTGGCAGGCTCGTCTCGCGTACGGCCAGTGTGGGAGTCCGTGGGACCTTTCGATCGCTGCCGAGACGTGACTTACGCTAGTGGTCCGGTGGATGGCGACGCCCGTGTAGACCTCACGGCGACGTTCGTGCTGCAACTCACTGCGAGTATCGAGCGATGGTCGAAATAGACCTCTATCGTGGCGTTTGGCTCTGTTCTGGATGGCCCTGACTCGGACAAATTGCTGCTCGTGTGTCAGCAGACGCTCGGCTGTGTGGTGAGCTGCTTTGAGTTGCACAGCTTCGTAGCGCGGGGACATGGCGGACACATCGTATACTTTGCCGCAACTGTGAGCGGCACGATAGATGCATTGGTGGTAAGCCGTTGGCTGGACCGATGCAGCACATGCTCGAGGGATGGAACAGGCGTCGCGTGCGTCCCACAACGTGTGTGTCGCCATCTGCAACTCCGCAAAGGTCACTGACGAGCCGTGGAGCTACGCACATGCTGAGTCCGAACTTGAATGCGCTGCTTGGCAAGACGACCCAGATCTCGAAAGGCCCGATCGTAGCGGAGAGCAACTTATGCGGGTCACCCCAGTACGAGACGTCGAACGTGTCGGTGCGGGCTGCAGCTGACGTGACAAACCAGCCATGGTATCGTGATGCGTCTTCCCACGGTGCTGCAGCGTCGGAACAGATCGCCAAAAAAGGTCGACGGGAGCGCAACGAGCGAGAACGTCGTGACGTCTTTGTGGAGAAGTGGCTGAGTGAGGCACATCTCTGATGGGGTTCAGCATCCAACTAACCACTGGCGAAGTGTTCACCAGTACGAAGTTGATCGTCATGAGCTGTTGGCGATAGATGACTTGTTGCGAGGCACAGTAGAGACATAGTACGCGAGCAAACGATCTCATTCGAACTGTATTGTGGTAGCTGAGTCATTCGTTCGATGCTACCATGCGAGTTGAACACCACGCCGCGAGCATTGTGCTCAGGTCAATGATGGAGTGTGACGAAAGCGTCATTGACTCTTCACAAGTACCTGGTGCCTCGTGCTCGCCAGTACCGAAAAAGTGTAGTGTCCGTGCCTCGTTTCTTCGTGCTGTCGTCGTTTCGAAGATGACGGATGTCGATCACAAGACGTCCGGGGGAGTGTGCCGTTAACGCCAAGCCCATGTCGCCGGGAAACACCGACGTTAGACGGGATTGACCTTGACCTTCGACGGAGTTGACGCTGATGTGGTGGCTTCATCGACAACATGTCCCAAAAACTTCGAGAAGAACACGTCTTGTGAAAGCATCGGCGTGTTGGACTTCATCTGCTTTACAGCTGGAAAGATGTGCTCTTGGACCTTGAGAAGTTCATCCGTGGTCAGTTGGGAAACACGACGGGCGAATGCATCATCACCACCGAATCCTTCAATAACGGTTTCGAGGAAAACAATCTCGCCTCGGCCCGGATTGGCAGCCTCACAAAAGTCCCTTAAGCCGCTGACGGCTGCACTTCTCTGTTCTACGAATAGCTCGTCAAAAGACAAGCGGCGCAGGTCGAGTAGCTTATACACTTGAGACGGAGTCTTGCCAACTTCGACCCACCCCGTCACCAATACTTTTCGGAGCAGCTCCAAAACGCCTGGCTGCGCCACAAGATATTCCTTCGTCTGAGCCGACTCCAGCGTCCGCATACCAAATATCCCATGCACCACCTCAAGATTCTTCTTCGCTTTGTAAGAAGAAATCAGCTCTCGTCCAAGTCTAGACGATCCAACCCACTGCTCCACGTAGGGATCCTCTAGAGTCAAACACATCCTATTAGGAAGAATGGATTGATCGACGCTCTCCGCCATCCCCACAAACTTCTGAAGTCCCAGCCAGAAAGATTCCAGTGTCTCCGGCACCACCATCGTTTCTTGAGACCTCAAGACCCTGCTAGGAGAGGAGTTCTCGCCACCGGCGGCCAAGACAGTGACAGCAGGGTCTTGGTGTTCCATCGGCGCAGGATCCGCAGCCTCCGAGACGCCGTCGGGGCGTGGCAGGAGAGCGGACGAAGCCACAAGGGCAAGGGTGAAGACACGCATAGTTGGACAGATCTCGGCACGAGCAGTGCAATCCCAAAGTGACTGTGCGGGAACGGACACAAGAGCTCGCGTACTTACCGGTCTCGACACAGAGCCGTATCATGGGAAACGGTCCTCCCATCACCTGGTGTGGGTTTTCTTCCCCGACCCTTTCGATGGTTGCAGTCAGGGTGTGCTCTATGTACGTGCGACACCTCACTTTCGCAAGCTCGCCACACTCGAGACTGCCAACACGTGGTACACTGGAGCTGGTCCATTCTCTGACGATCGTCGTTGGTGACCGTTTTCTGGCACACGTACAGGATCTCTTTTGGCGGGTCGTGCTCAGGCGTGTTGCAAGAAGCTGTTCTGGAAGCAGATGTGATTGGATCAGTTGACGGGAACGCCAGCCGGCACACAAAGAAAGACCTGCACGTCTTGTGGTCGAGTCAGTAAACAAGCTCGGACGGGCACTGCCCAGGCCCTACAGTAAGCTCAGTCGCACGACATCGCACGCCTGACGGAAGTGCGTGGCCCACCGCGTCAGCATCGATACCTCCGATCCAGCCACATGAACAGGTGCAGACACAACAGACTCGAGATTTAGGAAGATGTTCCCGTGCACTCAGCGGCTGTCATTTGTTGGACGAGAAGCATGTACAAACGAAGGTCTTTTTGGAGGGTGCGCCCAGCTTACGGTACGAGACCGTGCCGGATCCAGGTGGGACACGGTCCAGGATCAGCTGGACTCGGAAAGCCAGTCGGGACGCAGAGATCCCGACGTGTCCGGCGCGCCGCTTTTTGCTGTTCGGTCTGGCTGACTTACTGCCCGGTCGCGACCTGATGAGAAGTGCAGAGAAGCAAGACGGCACGTGCACTCGTCAAGAACGCCGCAGACGGGGATCAATGTTCTCGACCCACTGCGTTGAGCCGCGTCACGCGTCGCGACCAAGCACCCCGTGGAACGCAGCCTGAGGAATGCAGGCGTGGTGATAGCATTTTTAGCAGCGAGTTCATGGATGTTGACTTTCTTGTTTGTCTTGTGTGAACTGTGCTTGCCCACCCCAATTGGTTGGACGATGTGTTATCTCAATCGTTCATGTGGTGGCCGGACGACAAGCGTTTTGGACCCGCGAAAGCTCGACAAGCGTTTCGACCTGCTTGTAGGAAGGATGATACAAACGGAGGTCGTCTCCATCGTCGAGGCACCCAATGTGGCCAGACCGCGAAGCATACGACCAGCATTGGTTTGGCCTACACATGAGCAAAGTCCACGATAGAAAGACATACACAGATGCTGTTGTGTTTCGCCATGAGCTAGTTCGCGCACCTCTTCGTTCAGCAGTGCACACTATGCTCAGTAGCAAGCGGAGCTACACAGCCTTTTAAGTCAGATGAAGACTTAATGCTCTTACGAGCAACTTTGGTTCTACGAACCCGACTCAGAGAGTCAACAAGCTCAGAGAGCTTACGGTCCCCGTTCCTAAGGGACCAAAAGATTCAAAAGAATCACAGCACAGAGTGCTCAGGAGCAGCTACCTTCACAGGTATTGCTAGCTCCTACCAATCAAAGACGCCTCGTAAGGCACGTGTCTTTCAGTGATCAAAAGGGGAACTGAACTTTATCCTTTTTAACCTTGAAGAACACCATAGAACAACGTACTTAACCTAGTCACTAAGGTTCAAAGTAAAAACTCTCTAAAGATCTCGTAATCGATTGTTGACAGACATCAGTCTTCAACAATTGATACACTTACTGTGTTCTACTGTTACTTTACAGTATACCCCTTCTCTTGTGTGCACCACACCTATCGTCGACTACCAGTCGACGTGTAACCCCGTTACAATCTCTTCCGCCAGACTGACGTTACCACAAAACGTCAATCGAAGTCCTCCTCGAAGAGGGCGGTTTGTGTGCGCTTCAACCTCGCGGTGGCAAAACACGAAACACCATGGCATCGCCACCCAACGAGTCTCGGACTCATTCCTACTACCTCGGTCTTGATGAGGATGTGGACTATGGTAGTGACACCAGTGTCCTTGGAGATGAAGGGATATCGTCCCACTCCGCTGTATCTGAGGCTCGACCTCTATCAGCACCGAATTCGTTCGTTAGACTTGGTGCTACCACAGCGCCAGGGGAGCAGCATCATACAACAGATGCAGATGAGAACATCATCACAAACCCGCTCGACGAGCAACAGGAGTTAACCGTCCAGCGTGAGGAGCGTGCTCTACGTCGCACTCATACCCAGACGGTTATTCGAAACCGGAGTGGTTACGTGTTTGCAACACCTGACGTGGATGCAACGCCTCCGTCAAACGGAAGGCCGTATCCTTATAACATTAGCCATTTGCCCAGAGGCTACGTCGCCAGAAGATATAGACTATCGTCAGGCTCTAAATGAGATATATCTCGAGCCTTACTTGACCACTCAAGGTCAGTACCGCGCGCATCTTGAGAGCTTGTCTCGTGGTGTCTCGATTTGACCGATTATGGGCGTGCCCATCTTGTTGTTTGCTGGCGAACTGTCCGAGGAGGAGGACAATCAGGTAATCCGTTGGGTGTATCGCAAGCGACACCTTAGCAGGGTGCTAGCGCTGCGGGCCAGCGCCGATGTGGCCTATGTTGGCTGGAACGAAAGCTTCGGTTCGAGTATGCCAAACTCAAGACCAGAGGCCAGTTGCGTACATGTACGCGTTGTGCTCCTGCTACGATGGTAGCCACGGGTCACGACCCTAATGTGCGGAGCAACACACGACCCCCCACCACTATTGGTGAGAAGTATTCTCGTTCCCAAGGCGACCCTGGCCACGATGTTCAAAAACATCCACAGCGTATGGTCAATACTGCCGAAGGGGTAACTCAAACTCCCACGAGTTCTCCGACTCCGGGTACCCTCGCCACTTCACCAGATACTGGTATTGGCCACGACGACGACGTCGTTTCAAGAGTCGCTCCGCATGGAACTGGTGGTTCCCTTGCTCATCGAGCAGCGTCGGTGGTGGTCGGGGTACCGAAGGAGGAGCATGAGAAGGTGCTTCTCGAGCTGAGTGGTCTCCGTGAGACATTGGGTAAGCCTTATAGTGCGTTTGACGCGATGCAAGCCCGTGTTCAGGAGTAGGAGTTGGACCAAGCACTTGTACAGGCCTTGGCGTTGGGCCAAGCCCAGATGGAGGCTCAGCTTGACCTCCTGATTCGGATTTAACAACCGATGGCAAGTCCAACTTACGCGGCGCAAGCGCCTCCAAGTTCACGATGGGACGGGTCCCGATACGGCTTAAGCAAGCCAACGTAGAACACGGTGTGTGTGAGCAGTTTGCGCGGAAGGTTGAGCGTGTACGCCAATCCCTTCTTGACGACGACCGTGAATGGTCCAATAGAGCGCGGGCGCAATTTTGTCTTGAAGACATCAGAGACTACATTTGTAGGTAAGTTTTTAGCATTGAGTAGAACTTGGTCTCCGACCTTATAAAGTTTAATACATCCTCTGCCTTTAACATCAGCTTGCTCCTTTTGTCTATCTTGGCTATCAGCCAGTGCATCACGCACGTGTCGTAAGGCATTCAGTCGCGTTGCGAGAAACTCGCTTACCTGTTTTTGAACAGTAGAAGGGCTGATATCAGCAAGCCGACCGGCCATCTCTCCCCCACCAAGCCCTGAACCACGTAGTGGTAGCGTAAACGGAACGCGAGGGTGTGTGAGACCATTCACATAAAACGGTGTGTAGCCGGTGGAGGCATGCACGGCGTTATTCAACGCAAGCTCAACGACAGGTAGCATCGAACTCCAACGCTTTGGCGTTTCAGCGCAAAAACTGCGCAAGATGTCACCGACGATGCGATTCATTCACTCGGTTTGACCATCAGTCTGCGGATGATTTGCTGTGGACATGTACAAACGTGTGCCGAGCACCTTATAGATGGACTTCCAAAACTTCCCAGCGAAGCGAGGATCTCTATCAGAGAAAATTGCCAACGGCAAACCGTGTTGTCGAAACACGCGATCGATAAACAGCGTAGCTGTACCTTCACCATCAATGGTATCTGTCATCGCTGCTAAATGAGCCATCTTGCTCAAACGGTCAACAAAGACCACAATACCCGTATTTCCATACGAATCCTTCGGTAATCCGAACAGGAAGTCCACGCTGATGGACTTCCAATACCCTTTGGGTATAGGCAAGCTATACAGCGGCGCGGCCGCGTGAGGTGATGGTTTCACCCGTTGACACGTTTCACACGTACGCACATATGTGCTCGCCCATTTGTATAGTTTGGGCCACCAATAGCATTGGCTAACTGAGCCGTAGGTCTTTTCACGACCGAGATGACCACTAAACGCAGTATCATGTGCCTCATAGAGGATCCGATACTTCAACTCCTCATCATGAGGGACAACGATGCGAGGGGTATCATCCACATCCGTGCTATAGCACAACAGGCCTTGATCGATGGAATATCGATGTATCCTCGCACGTAATCGTGCCGACAATTCTATGTCCGAGTCCTTGAACTCCTCGCTCCCTAGAGCACGTAGCAGAGCTACACAGTGTTCATCCTTGGCATATGCCGTACGGATTAGGTCAGTGACCGACGCCAACAGAGTCGTTACATGAGCAAGATCATAGTCAGGCATGCGTGACAACGCATCATCCAAATCATTCTGCTTGCCCGGCTTATACTTCACCTCGAAGTTGTACTCGGCAAAGGAGGAAAGCCAACGAGCCATTCTCTGATAGAGGTTAGGCGACTGGTTCGCAGTGCGTAGTGACGCATGATCTGTATAGATCACAAACGGCTTAGAGTCAAGCAGATGAACTCTGAATTTGACGAGAGCATACTTCATTGCAAGTAGCTCTTTTTCATGAACAGGATATTTATTTTCTGCAGCCTTCAGCTGCCGGGACTCAAACGCAATGACGCGTTCCTGTCCATCAGAATCTGTCTGTAACAGAGCGCTGCCTATGGCAAAGTGAGACGCGTCACCGACGACACTGACAGATCGATCAGGATTCGGCAAAGCCAACATTGGCGCATGAAGGAGACTCTCCTTTACTGCTTGAAAAGCATCATGCTCGGTGCTCGTCAAGCACCATTCCACATCTTTTTTTACAGAGATTGGATAATGTCCGAGCCATATCTGCGTAATTCGCACTGTAGTTGTGCAAGCAATTGGCAAGGCCAAGCCACTTACGTAAGTCCTTTTGGTTCCTAGGAACCGGCCAATCAACTATGTCTTTTAACTTAGCGGGATCCGCTCTAAGACCTCGCTTACCAATAAAGAACCTTAAAAAGGAATCTCTTCTTCACCAAAGATGCACTTAGATGCGTTGGCATACAACTTATTTGTGCGCATGCACTAGAGCCCCGCTCGTAAATGGTCAATGTGATTGTCCACATCTGACCGACCGTTCATGGCACGACTGTGGACAAAGATGTCATCAAAGTACGTCTGTGCATATCCTCGGTGAGGTCTGAACAATTGTGTCACAAGACGATTGAATGTAGCCGGGGCATTTGATAATTCTTGAGGTATAACAAGCCACTCCCAGAGCATTCCGCTTGGAGTGCTGACTGCTGTCAGCGAAATATCGCTTTCTCGCATGAGAAGCTGGTAATAACCATCGACTAAGTCGAGCGCACTGTACATTGTACATCCCACCATATTGTTGTAGAACATCTTTCCTAGGGATTCGTGTCTGAGGCGGGATGGTAGCAGCATTAAGCTTATTGTAAGCATGAACAATGCGCCACTTCCCATTGGGCTTTCTGACACAGAAGGTCGGTGTGGAATGGGGAGATTCGCTCTCACGTACCATTCCTGTCGCGTGCTTTGCACGAAAGAAGTCGTCGATGACGTCACACTGTTCCATCGGTTAAGGCCACTGCCGTGTTACGCAGTATTTAGCTCCAAGAATAAAGTCAATTTCATGACGAAAACCTCTTTCAGATGGTAAGACAGACGGTAAGTCGTGACACACCACTTCCTGGAACTTCTTTACCAAAAGATTGAACGGTCCAGAAAATTCTTAAGAACTGCAGATCTACTACGGGCATCCAATGCCACCTTTGGGTCCTCAAGGACAGACTCGTCCAATAACGAGGATGAGTTCAACTCAATATCCAGCCGTATGACCACTAACTCGAATAATTTTTCTGTATGCAAGACTTGGCTGAATTCGCCGTCAGACATTTCGTCTAGTTCAAAGAGAGTATCCAAGGACGGAAGAGTCTCTAGACTAATGTTGTCATTAACATGGCCAGTCACTCCATTGACAAGTGTATAGACTGTATTATTACTATTATCACTTTGTGACACCTCGGACGTTTGGCGCTAAACAGTTGCCACCCGACGGCGGGATTGTTTTCTTATAGAAACCTCACGACTCCTAGAGGCCGAGACAGTAGGGTTCCTGTAGTTGCAATTCATCTTAGCACGCTCTATACGAGAGCTCATGTCTCGAGCTACACCTGGTAAACAGTTACATAACTCGAACACTTCACCCAGTGGATGTGCACGTAGCACTTCGCGTACAGCATCCGGCCCTAGCCCTGAAAGCTCTGACTTTTTGCCAACAATGTCATTACTGACATATAGTAGGGTGCCATCTCGGCCGCCTTTGCTCGGTGGAATTTCACGTGCCACCCCACTCACATCAGAGAAATTACATTCTTGATGTCTCGGCCCTAGTCCAACCATGCCTGCAGCATGCAGTGACTCAGTATTACAACGAGTATCACTTCACGGAGTAAAACCCCTTCACAGAAGGTGAAAGAGCTCCGCTCAATATTGATGTCATTGACATTGGAGTTATTTATCTCTGACATACCAATGTCCAGCACATTATCATCTTCCGTCAATTTCTCGCGCCAAAAGCGCTTTTGTTGCCTAGTAAAGGTGGGCTCATGACTCTCCAAATCTTCGCTAGGAACATTGCGCGTTGCGCCTAAGGTCTTAGACCTCCAATCGATCCATGGTTCATGGCGTTCAAGCCAAGCCATACCCAGGATGAGATCGTATCTCGAATACAAGTCAAGGACAATACAGCGTTCAATGCTGTCAAAGTCCAAAACCTTCACACCTAAGTTCAACGGAACTTCAGGCACAGTAACGCGACTACCCGTCGCTAAACAAACGGTGATGAAATCACGTCTTGCTCCAGTAGCGCTTCAGCGTATCGCTGACTTCCCTCAAGGGAACGACGTCGAGCATAATTGCATGACGCCCCAGAATCGATTAAGATCGACCACTGCTTCTCAAAGCCTTTTACTGTCGTCTCGGCGACTAACAATCCAGGCTTGTATATACGCTCTGTGCTGGTGGGCACATAGCTCGGTGGGGCTAAGCCCTGATTCACCCTACCTCGTAGAGAAGCAACATAACTCAGTTCTAACCCAGTAGGGCGCCCCGCGCCTACTGGGTGTCGACGTTTCCCCGTGACATACCAAGTTTATCGTTGGGGCTGGGGCCTCGACTCATAGGAGTCTGGTGCTGCTTACGCAAAGGACAAGTGGGACGCAAGTGTTTAGTGCTTCCGCACATATAACATCGTCTCACTTCCTGTCGTTGCTCTACAACATGAAGCTCCGCTTCACCTTCATCCTTAGCATCGATAAGATCCATCGGTTCTGGCTTACATTAAGCCGAGGTGCTTGCAGAGGTTGCTCTCGCAAAGCTTGGGTTTTACCCATTCCAACCAAGTCTGGCCGACTTAAAGTTATGCTCAGCATTTTGAGCGATGCCAACAGCCTCCTCAAAAGAAGAGGGATGTTCCCGAAACACATCGGTCCTGGCAACGCCATTTCGAAGACCTTCCAATAAGACAGTCACATAGACTGTCTCAGAGAGAGGATCAGACTGCATAGCAGCCATCAGAGTTCTCAACTCTTGGACATAGTTCGTTAAGTCATTCTTACCCTGACGGACTCACAAGAAGCGTGAACGCACGCGATAGGCCTGGTTACGCGGCGATAAAACTCGCAATAGATCTAACTTAAGCAAATCACATGTGGGAAACGCCAAGTCGACCGACGTGCCACACGTCAGAGCCCATTCACTAGCTCCTCCATCGAGTTTTGAGATCGCCAGCGATACTCGCTGATGCTCGACTGAGTACAAGCCAGATCTCATGGCCATCTTAATACCACGAATCCAGAGGATGAGGTTTTCAGCCTCCTTTCCGGAGAAATGCTTGACGTCCACCTTTTGATGACGAGGCTTAGCCTCTTCGTCTGGCATAACCACAAAGCGTTTTGGCATAGCCGACGCTACCTGGTTCTGAACCTGCCCTAAAGGGCCGTTTCATACTGCATAAAGGTCTCGACACGCGCATTGAGCATGTCGGGACCTTGTGCAGCGAGAAACTCAACATATTCTGGGCCTACGGCCGCGGTTAGCTTATCTAACGCAACCCTTTGGGCCTCATTAAGGGGTGTGGAAGGCTATATCATCGCAGAGGGTCAGTCGTAACGACTCAGGCGTAGATTTACTACGAGTGCTACCAAGTGTAGCGGAGCCACACAGCTCCTTAAGTCAGATGAAGACTTAATGCTCTTACGAGTAACTTTGGTTCTGCGAACCCGACTCAGAGAGTCAACAAGCTCAGAGAGCTTACGGTCCCCGTTCCTAAGGGACCAAAAGATTCAAAAGAATTACAGCACAGAGTGCTCAGGAGCAGCTACCTTCACAGGTATTGCTAGCTCCTACCAATCAAAGACGCCTCGTAAGGCACGTGTCTTTCAGTGATCAAAAGGGGAACTGAACTTTATCCTTTTTAACCTTGAAGAACACCATAGAACAACGTACTTAACCTAGTCACTAAGGTCCAAAGTATGACCTCTCTAAAGATCTCGTAATCAATTGTTGACAGACATCAGTCTTCAACAATTGATACACTTACTGTGTTCTACTGTTACTTTACAGTATACCCCTTCTCTTGTGTGCACCACACCTATCGTCGACTACCAGTTGACGTGTAACCACGTTACATCAGTAGCAAGCGCACGAGCAAAGACTATGGCCTCGGCGCGTGGCTCCACTAGCCATCGACTCTGGATTGGCTCGCTCGTGCAGCATGTCAGCAATGAACACGCACTGCACAGCGCCGTGATCTGCCATGTTACGTGACCATCCACTGTCATCAGTTCGTCAGTCTCATCGCTGAACTCGCCTGTGGACGTATGTATGTACGCATTGTCGTCACCACACTGCGGGATAGAAGACACTCGTGCTCCTGTCTCGGCTGTCGGTCGTCACGATTGGCGCTATTCGCTTCGTGTTCTCCACACTAAGTGAAGTATCGTTTGTGTACCACAGCTGCTCGCCCGCTCTTCCGCCTCTCGGCCAGTCGTGCGGCTGTCCTTATGGTGCTCCAGTTCGTGCGTCGCTCTGTGCAGCAGCTGTTCAGTCACTCGGCCACATGTGCTGCGAGCCACCGCACGACTGTCTCTGCTGCTTCTACCTGTGTCTCCAGTACCGCGTCAAGTGTCGCTCCCGCCAGTGCATATGCTGCAGGACGCGCGAGACCGCAGCCACAGCACATTAAAGCAGACCCGACGGGTGTTGTGGCTGGCGTTGTGGCTGGCGTTGCGATCGTAGGTGCCTTCGTGGGCGTCGGAAAGATGTGGTGGGACGCGTCGTCTTTGCGTGGCGCTTCAGAGCCCGAAGCGGTGCAGACGATCTCGCAGAAGGAGCTTGGGCTCTTTCTGGAAGAGCTCACAGCGGCTGTCAAAGAGCTGTTTGTACGTGTGTGGGTTGTCGCAGTGCAGCTGGATGGCAGCTGCTCGCAGCTGGATAGAGCTAGAAGACCGCGTGCTTACGATGCGGTGTCGGTCCATTTCGGTGTGTTGTTGGTTGGTTGTTTGTGGTAGAATAAAGTGCCGGTGCTTGAGGATGCACTGCGTGCTTACATGAAAGAGAACGGTCATGAGCTGAGCGACGCTGAATTCAAGCAGGCGGTGCTATCACAGCTGTATCAAATGATGGAGGCGATCGAAACGCAGGTTATTGAGAAGCGCAAGTGGAATCCTGCAAGTCTGGAGTCTGCGCTCGAGATGTTTGCGCAGGACGCAGAGGTCTTGAGGTTGCAAGGCGAATTGAACAAACTGATGCAAACGTAAGCAGAAAGGTTGCTGCGCATGCAGAACGGTATAGGTGCACGTGAGATCTGACTTTTTGTGCGACGCCAGTGTGTTTCCTGCATCAACGCCTGTGGAGGTCCCCGAGGACCTTACTCCTGACAGGACGTTGGTGATTCTGAAAGTGATGGTAGCCGGCATGGAAAAGGCAATGTCGGACATGCTCGCTCATGCGCGAGCTGAGGGTATAAGCGATGTCGTGGGAGCGATGGAGGCGTTTCAGCACTTGTACATGGAGCACGTGGAGCAGATGACGCAGGCGCAGATGAAGCTGCACGGCATCTCCCAAGAGGTACGCTATGTTCTGCGACGACCTCGACCAGGTCGCTGGCATTGACGCGGGTTTTGTGAATCGTCCTATGTGCATTTCAGGTGTTCACGGCAGCTCTGCAGAAGCACCACACCGAAAATGAGCAGTTCCGGGAGCAGGTAGAGCAGATCTATGCTCAGCAGGCGAAAGCGTACGTTGACACTGGAGCAGCGGTGATGTCGCATTGTGTGCTCTAATGTTGTTTTGTTGCTTCGTTGATTGTGGTTCGTATATAGCTTCGAGAAAATGGGTCTGCCCATAGAGATGCAGTAGAAGGCTTTTTGCGACGAAGGACATTTCGACTAGATGTGGTGTGGTGGTGTGGACTTCCTGAATCACACACCCGACTTGTGTGCTTTGTTTGCATCGGTGTTACGCCAAAGCGTTGTGCTGGATGGGGATGCACGGACAAACGTCATAGCGTTCATCTGGATTGGGCCAAGCGCCCAGACACGCTCAAAGGACCTACAAGTCTGGCGCAAGAGTATCTGTTCGCGACGTCAGCGTGTACCAGTGTACGAAGGAACCTGCTGGAAAACCAATGAAAGCCATGACACACCCGTGGCTTGCAGAAGGGTGATCGGTCCGCGAGCCTTGCTTGAGAGGGTCTTGCGTAGTCAAAGGTAAAATTGAGAGTGTATTCATTACCATGTTAGCCTACCGTGCCTACCTGAATGCTTCATCTAATTCCATCGATCCATCAACCATCCATCAATCAATCCATCCGATTGTTCTTCACTTAGTCGTAGCTTGGTCGTGGAGTAGGATCCATCCATTATTAACCAGTGTAGGAGGCAGTTATGTCAGCCAATCTGTCGTTGTTTCCAGAAGCAGCAAAAGTTGTTCATCGTGTTGTTTCCGCCCGAGTGATCTCAGCGCGGTATCCCGCAACGAGGCTCACCCACGTCGATATCGCCAGCATCGTCGGCTGTCCCACAAGGAACCCGTGCACAAGCAGTCGATCCCCAGCAGCACCTTACTTGCTAGTACCAAGGATAGCGGCGGATCGTTATAGTACGATAACGTGCAGGTGTAGCGCATTCGACTGAAATGGACAAGCTTCGTTGGATGTATACAGAGAAACGTATTTATTGTGGCTGAGACTTGATACAGCTCTGTAGAAGAAGTTCTTGAGCATTTATGAACATCAAATATGTATAATACATCCAGTCAACTGCCACCTCTGCGCGCATTTATTCCCCATCAGTTGGCTGTGTTCTCTTTGCCTTTTTTCATGGTTTGGTACAAATCAACAAGCAGTGCGTTGTATAACCTACTGACGAATACCACCTTCAAAAGCAACATCTACCGATATTACCCGCTACAGCAAATATTACGAATAGCATCTGCTACGACAATGCTCACATGGACATTCTAATAGATGTCAAAAACACGCTTGCGGGGTCGACGGATGTATGTGTTGTCAAGCTATCTCGGCACGCACGATTGCACAATCGCCAGTGGAAAGAGTATAGTCGAGTCTGTGTATGCTAGTAATGCTGGTACCACGCTTCCTGCTAGTACATTAGTTATTGTATGTACCCGACCATCAAACCTAGGTACACTGTTAGTTCATGGCGGCTACTACTTTAGCCTCTGTTCTAGACAAGTTCTATTGTCGTCACCCACCCGCCGCTTTTTCAGCACGGCATTCCCCCCAAGAAGTCGAGCAAGAACCTCGCTTATCCGCGATAAGACAGTCCGGGATGCGCGACAATGTGAAGAAGTTGCATTCTACCCAGGATGTACACAAGTTTAACGCAAAGGAGTATAAGCTGACAAAAAAGCCTTCGAACGAAGCACTGACATCACGATTGTTGTGCATTCGCGTTGCGGCACGCTGTCTATCTCTAGGAATGATTCGTATCAAGCATGTCTGAAACCAGATGTTGTAATACGCACACAATACGATACGAAGGAGTTCGGCAACGTTTGAACAAGAAGCCTTTCCTACGGGCATCACTCAGTTCTTAAGTGCAAAATAATCCCCAATGAACCGCGAAACACGAGGAGAAACTTGACCGGCGAGTTTTGCTTGATATCCATGGACTGCTGTGCTTTTGCCCGATTTTGACGGCAGCTGAAATGATCAATCGGTGAAGACGTAGCACTGCTAACAACTTGACACATGTAATAGGGCTGCGGCTGTCGCGTACTGATTTACAGTACGGATCGAACTTTCGCTGACAACAGAGGTTGTCCGTGCCCTATCGCCTCACGTACACTGCAGAGGAAGGCTTAACTACTAAGACGATGTAACTTAGTACTGGTAACAGTAAAAGTAACTGGAAAACATCATCCAAGAAAAACTTCATAAAATATAATTGAGACCTACAATTTCTCCTGCCAAGGAGTCCTAACTTACTAACAACAAATGTACGAACATGTATTGTGACGTCTACTCACCGCCCACTGCGAGCGACAAGGAGCGTATAATGTGTTCGTGTCATGTCATATATCAACCCATGAGTAGACCCTTGGGTCACTGAAAGAGTATCACGATGTGCTGTGGTATTTTAAGAGGAACATTCAATATAATATTCCAATATTATCAGACCTTCTATTGATTATACCAAGAAATAGGTTCGCCCCGTTACAACAAACGTGAGTGTCCTGGCTGGAGAGACTAAAAACACGCATTGTCGGTTTTGAATACTGTATGGGAGTGAAATCTCAATCGACAGAGAAGATGACATTGCCAACGTCGACATCGACAATTAGTTCCTCGTAATCGCGTCGTAGATGTCCAAAGCTGACGCAATACTGTGAAAACTGGTATGCCGCCGCAGCAACTTCCGAACAAGTAGTGAGATATTACCTGCATAACATCATCGATGATTCGGTGTACAGCCATGAAAGACTCGTACCTCTTGTATACAACGGTGGTTGCCGACGATAGAGCGAAGCGTGAAACGAGGCACCCTCCAATTGTACTGACACAGTGTAGGCAGGTTCCTCGAATCTTGCCGTACACTGAACGTTTAAAGAGGAAAGCTTACTCTCCCTAACGAACAAGTTTAAGAGACGAACAACGCAGACTTGTATGTAATACAGCTGCGTCTCGTTTCCAAAAGCTCTTTCGATTTGACTCAAACATATCAAACCCCAAACGTCATATATAGATAGCTACTCGCCCACTACCCATTGTGCGCGTCTACCATCGTTAAATGTAACGGAGCTAGCACGGCTTCTAGCAACAGAAAGACTTTCTGCTTGACGAGCAGGCCTAACAGAACCAGACCATGACTCTTCGACTCAACGAGCTTTTAACTCCAGTTCTTGTGTAACGGGGTTACACGTCGACTGGTAGTCGACAATAGGTGTGGTACACACAAGGGATGGGATCCCCGTTAAAGTAATATTCGAACACAAGTATCAATTGTTGAAGACTGATGTCTGTCAACCATTGATTACGAGATCTTTTGAGCGGTTTTATTTTGGAAATTAGTGAGTAGGTCAATCACTTTGTTCTAATGTGTTCTTTTAGGTTAAAAAGAAATAAGTTCAGTTCCCATTTTGAGCAACAAAAGACACGTGCCTCTCTGAGGCGACTTGCGATCGTAAGGAAGTAACAACGCCTTGTTAAGGCAGCTACTCCTTGTGCACTCAGTGCGTTTGATTCTTTGAATCGTTTGGTCCCCCTGGAACAGTGACCGTAAGCTCTCTGAGCTTGTTGACTCTTTGAGTCGAGTTCTTTGCACCAAACCTTAGCTCTCGGAGCTGTTGACTCTTTGAGTCGGGTTCGTAGAACCAAAGTTTCTCGTTGAGCGTTAAGTCTTCCTCTGAATAAAGGAGCTCTGTAGCTCCACTACACTTGGTAGCACTTGTAACTAATCTACGCCTGAGTCGGTAACGAATAATCCTCTGTGATGATGGAGCAATCCACACCCATTTCTGAGGCCCAAAAGGTCTCTCTTGATAAGCTGACCGCGTATGTAGGCCCAGTGTATGTGGATTTTTTTAGCTGCACAAGGTTCCTATGTGCTCAATGCACGAGTCGAGATCTATATGCAGTATGAAACGGCCCTTCTAGGGCAGGTTCAAAACCAGGTAGCGTCGGCTATGCCGACACGCAACGTGGCGATGCCAGATGAAGAGGCTAAGCCATTTCCCCTTCGGGTGGACGTCAAACATTACTCCGGGAAGGAGGGGGAAAGTTGACTCTCTGTATCCGTGAGATTGATATGGCCATGATCTCTGTTCTTATCTCACTGGAGTACCAGCGGGTCTCACTGGAGCACCGCGGGCCTCGCTGGAGTACCAGCGGGTCTCGCTGTCTATCTCCAAGCTCGATGGAAGAGCTAGTGAATGGGCTCTGACGTGTGGCACGTCGGTCGACTTGGCGTTTCCCACATGTGATTTGCTTAAGTTAGATCTATTGCGAGTTTTATCGCCGCGTAACCAGGCCTATCGCGTGCGTTCACGCTTCTTGTGAGTCCGTCAGGGTAAGAATGATTAAACGAACTATGTCCAAGAGTTGAGAACTCTGATGGCTGCTATGCAGTCTGATCCTCTCTCTGAGACAGTCTATGTGACTGTCTTATTGGAAGGTCTTCGAAATGGCGTTGCCAGGACCGATGTGTTTCGGGAACATCCCTCTTCTTTTGAGGAGGCTGTTGGCATCGCTCAAAATGCTGAGCATAACTTTAAGTCAGCAAGACTTGGTTGGAATGGGTAAAACCCAAGCTTTGCGAGAGCAACCTCTGCAAGCACCCTGGCTTACTGTAATCCAGAACCGATGGATCTTATCTATGCTAAGGATGAAGGTGAAGCGGAGCTTCATGTTGTAGAGCAACGACAGGAAGTGAGACGATGTTATATGTGCGGAAGCACTAAACACTTGCGTCCCACTTGTCCTTTGCTTAAGCAGCACCAGACTCCTATGAGGCGAGGCCCCAGCCCCAACGAGAAACTTGGTATGTCACGGGGAAACGTCGACACCCAGTAGGCGCGGGGCGCCCTACTGGGTTAGAACTGAGTTATGTTGCTTCTCTACGAGGTAGGGTGAATCAGGGCTTAGCCCCACCGAGCTATGTGCCCACCAGCACAGATCGTATATACAAGCCTGGATTGTTAGTCGCCGAGGCGAAAGTTAAAGGCTTTGAGAAGCAGTGGTCGATCTTAATCGATTCTGGGGCGTCATGCAATTATGCTCGACGTCGTTCCCTTGAGGTAAATCAGCGATACGCTGATGCGCTACAGGAGCATGAACGTGATTTGATCACCGTTCGTTTAGCGACGGGTAGTCGCGTTACTGTGTCTAAAGTTCCGTT